AAAAGTTTCAGAATAATAGCTAGATATGCAGGGTCAGTGTTCTGGCAGCTTCTCCTTTAAGTTCACTTCTACACTTTGGTGGAAAAAGATAGGTCTAAGCTGCCACAGATAGCTATAACACTTGGAGGCAGATAGATGCCTTTTTATGTACATTGGCCGGGAAAAGGTTTAGAACCAGCCTGCACAGCTGGGGCAGAGGGTAGAATTACTTTGTATACAGAAATCATTTGTTTGTAGAAGAGATTTTTAGGTAAGCCCCACTGAGCACCTTGATAAAGTTATGGCTCAGATAATTTACTCTGTGGCATCTTACTCTATTTCTGCTGTTGAATTTGTCAGAGCAGATCAAATACTAGCAGGGAACCAAAACACTGGGTGAGAAAATGTTGGTTTCACAGCCACCTTTCAAAGCAGAATCATACTTGAACTCTTTTGCTATTCAATCCTCCCTTCACCCATTGGCCTTGGTACCAATTCCTGCCTAGAAAGGTATACATAGTCACTCTGTCACAGAGCAAGTAACTCCAGACCTGTCTTTTTTCCCCAGGTGAATGTTACATGGACCTGTGATGCCAGAGACCAGAGTTTCTCCTGATCTATCAGCCAGGCAGAAGTAATATCCTCACCCGTTAACTCTGGCTTGTTACAAGAACAATACACATTCAAAACAGCTCTTAAAAATACTTTACAGCTATGCGCAGATCATTCTGTCTCCTCTTGACCAGAGCCAGAGACCACATTTCGATTATACAACACACTTCTCTATCTTTCTTCATTTACAGTTGCCACTCCGCTTCTCAGCTGTGTGGGCACATATGCAAAACAGTGATCAGAAACTTCAAAGCAGAACTGGACAATAGAGTTGAGGTGGGGGAGGGAAGGTATGAGGACAAACATGGGAATGGGATGGAGCTGAAACTACAAAATGGTTGAGCTGAGTGGGTGGGGGAGAAGAACTGAAGAACTCTAATGATTCAACTCGATACTCAGACATTTTGTTTGGAACACCTCCATATAGCAAACTGTCACAAGTGCACGTTACCCATTCAAAATTCGCAGTGAGGCCTTCCCACTGAGCACAACTAGAGATACACAACACACAAATAAGATAGTCCCAGGAACAAACCTTTAGTAGCCTAATAAGGCTTGGATTCCTGAAAGTGAGGGGCAGAGCAGCTGAGCAACTGATTACTCAGATAGCCTCCCAGTGCAAGGAGGGGTTTTCCAGCTCCTCTACTTCTTCCTTCAAGGCAAGA